CACACACACACGCGCGCACTTTGCGCGCGCACACACACACACACACACATATAGAACAACAACCGAGACACTCGATGAAAATTCTCTTCACAAGAATCGAGCTCCTCTGGGTGTGATGGTGAAGCTTCTAAACTACGCTACACTACAGACGTTGGACGATGACGAGCAGAAACTTGCACAAGTTGGATTTGTCCCAAGGAGGTTATAGCCCACAGTAAGGTCCTTGATTTGTCCATAAATAATATAATATTATTAAGGATAAATGACATGTTTTCATGTTATAATACACCATATCATGTCGTATGGGGACACTATCACTAAGCGTGACCCAAAGCTGTTGCCTTTCCCTGCTGCGCTTTCTTTGTGCGTCATGACACCCCACTCCTCAGGGGTACACGAGAGGAAATAACAGTACACTAGATTCGGACTTGTATGACGTTTTCAAAGTTCAAATTTTAACATGAAACGTCCAGACCAAGACTGAACGGGGCCCAGAGTTGAAAGCAAACCCTACTAAGAGTGATGATAAAGTCATCGTCCTTCAGCTATTCCGACGGAAGGCGAAGCATGATTTCCCCAAGGATTTTCTGCAATGACTAGCCGCCCAAAATGTTTTCTGCCTTCAAACTGTGTTCAAGCAAAGTGGAACTAACCCCAGCCACCTTCCCTACGCAAACGTAGCCACTTACGACATGATTAAAAAGCCAAATCATGTAGATATGACAGTTAATGTATCTTAAAAAGAAAATATACACGTAGAAGAAATAATCATTAAGAAGTTTGTGGATTCCGTGATGGCCAACAAGTCTAATTCTGGAAGAGAAAAATTTGCCACATTTTGATAGTTTAAAAACTGTATTTCCCCCTGTGGATATGCACAGTTTGCCGGGCTCTTCTCTTGGCTTCAACATTTCTAAGTCATGAAGTCCCATATTCATATGATTTGTTGCCCCCTGTGATTGCTGTTCCCCGACTGGGTCCGTCAGGATCAAGGCTCTCCCATGTCAAGGAGTTAATGTTGAGGTCATAATCAAGGGATACATGTTGAAGTACTAGGCATTTCAAATTAAAAGCCACATAATGTAGATACTACAATATGAAAGGATAAAAGTGTGGGACCCTACCAAGGATACACTCAACCAACGACCTTCAAAGTCATACAATTTAAATACAGACAAGACATCATATCATTAATATGGCTCACGTGATTTCAGATGAACAAATCTGCACATGCAAACACAGTAATATACACACATGCATACAAATGGACACAAGCACGGTGGTCGCTCACAAACTCACAAAAATATAATAGGGTCACATTCCCCTTAGTAAATCAACGACAAAACCAACTCAATTTGGATGAGAACAGTGTTGTTTATTGACTTGTCTGTAAGGTAACAGCTAGACCCTGTAATGGGGGTTCGGTCGAAAGAGCACTGAAAGACCTAAACACGTGGCATTGGACACACCTGCTGACACTCACAGTGAACGAGTCGGGCGGGGACCACAGACACAGGAACAAGGACAGAAGGCGCGATGCGACAGTAGGTGCCTCACTAACTAATCATGGTTGTAAGAATCGAAATACCCTACCCGCCATCTTGGTGATAGTTATGAATCCATTAAGGTCGCTGTTGCTATCATATATATGTATGTATTCACCACTTCACCGAGTATTTAATACATCTAAAGTTTGCAGCTGAAGTCTAACCTTCGACAAAATATCGTTAACTCTCTACTTTTCTGGGAAACTGAGAGGCCGGATCCGCAATCAAGGGCTGATAGGTCATGTTTGGGTTTTAAAAAACCCAACATATTTACATACCATACGGTCATTAAAGAGAAGGAACCTATGCACCCAAATTACCGAACTTCCGTCTTAGCTAGAGAAAACTTAATCGCAGGAGAGTCTGGAAACCCCCCCCCCCTTTCCACTTTCACAAACACAAAACCCGAGGTCATGAGTTCAAGGACATCCCGCTAGGATTTGAATCAGGTCATCAGCACGGTAGTTGAGCATGATATTCAATGATAGCAATAACTGAACCACCGTCGAGCCCACACAAAGGAACAATTGTATCTGCTTTACATCCCCGCCCCTAGACACGCTATAGATCTAGATCACTAAGGTGATGGGTAGAAAAACGAGGTCCGAGACCTCCATAAAGTTGACATTATTACTATTACCAACCAGCTACGACTGCTGAATCACAACGTTGCTCGCAACGAAAGGCGATTGAGCAGGGCACATTTCAAAGGTGGTCTAGAGTGATTATGACCAATAGCAATACATGGATATATAATGGATATGTGCACCAAAACGGCGGCATTGGTACAACCATCTCGAAAAGCGCAACGCAACGCACCTTCTGTCGGTCTCCTATTTCTGAGAATGGTACGGGCAGACAGCGCTTAACAGAGTGCGCAGACGATGCCATTTTGCTGATATGATGAACTCGAAACATTCGACTTCTGACGATGCCATCCCATCGAACTTGAAAACAATCTGACTTCCATGCTGTG